CAGTATCCTTCCCCTGCCACCCCCACCAAGCCATGCCATACCACGCCCACCAAGCCACACCCACAGAACCGGTAGTAAAAAATTTTGAAACCCACCACTGAAGAAAACCAATCTCTTTTATATTTCTTCGATGCTGCCAAAAGCAGCGATCAGAAGACAAGAAAAATACAACTGTTTCTAATGTAATATTTCGCTAGAAATATTAAATGTATAGTTGTACTTTAGAGAGCTTTAAAGAACAGAATACATAATTACCTATATCATCTTTAAGGTTTGCCCCTTCTATTTTTGGTCAGTGATAATTACTAAGAAAATTATTCCCGGGAGAAGGCGTAACAGGGAGACAGGAGGAGTCAGGTTACTCTCACAGAATACGCCCTGGGTATGGTGTTCTAGTGGTGCATTCCAGCCCTCTACTCTCAACGCTACACCCCTATCAGTAGTCCTCTGAGGACTGAGTTTTTGGCTGTTGCTGTTGAATGTCAGGTCAGTCAGTAATAAAGCTGTCCTCATCCATGATTTGATCAGGGGGAAAAATCTTGGGACACCTGAAGCTTGGCTGGGCTTGGAGAGGGATATTTCTCTCTAGGATATATGCCTAGCTCCTCTCTAGGAGATATTTCTCTCTAGGAAATATGCCTATCAAAGATGAAATGCTCCCGGTTCGGACCGGATCACCCGATCCGGTAGCGATGGAGGCGGGTGGTTCAGAGAACCAGTAGCAAAAATCCCTGCCCCCCTCGCCTTCCCAGCTGAGCTGCACAATCATCAGAGGCTTTTTTTTACTTTTAAAAGCATTTTTTCTACAACCTCTTCAGCCAAAAAATGCTTTTAAAAGTAAAAAAAAAAAAGCCTCCGATGATCGCGCGGTTCAGCTGGGATCTTCAAAGGCTTTTAAGAGAAAAAAACCCTTTTTTTCTTTTAAATGCCTCTGACGATCCAAGCTGATTTGCCTGATTGGCAGAGGTTTTTTAAAAAGCCTCTGCCGATCAGGCAACTCAGCTTGGATCATCAAAGGCATTTAAAAGAAAACCCCCCTTTTTTTTCTTTTAAATGCTCTGATGGTCCAAGCTGAGTTTTTATAAAAAAAGCCTCTGCCAATCAGGCAACTCAGCTGGGATCATCAGAGCCTTTTGAAAGCATTTTTTTACAACCTCTTCGCCGAAGAGGCTGTAGAAAAAATGTTTTTAAATTAAAAAAAAAAAAAAAGTTGGCCACACCCACCCAGTCACATTACAACCCCGCCACAAGCCACGCCCACAGAAGCTGTAGTAACAAATTTTACATTTCATCCCTGATGCCTATGCCATGGGTGTGGCATCAGCCATGTTCTCTGAGTGATCATCATGATTCTACCAGAAGCGATTGTCAGGTGCAAGACCCTGCTTGCTAGGCTGGGCTCTAGCGTACAGTTGGGATTGTTGCCAATGTACCAACCTCCAGGCTACATAGTACCAACCTCCAGGCTGCAATTTCCCTCCTTGGGGTGCAAGGTCTGAGGAAACGTGAATGTTCATGACCACCATCACAACCATGAACTTGTCTCGGGTCGTCCAAGCCTGGCCCATACACCTGATCTGGGTGTGAGAATAGTGGTAATGGGATCTATAATTGGGAGACTTTTATTTGTCAGATGACTCCCTGGCAGCACTCTAGTTCTCTGATGCTGCCCTTTACTGGAGGGAGGTCAGACTCTCAAACTGGCCAAGATGACGAACAGACCTAATTGGGTTCCAGAGGGAACTTGGGATTGTTCCCAAGAGTCTGCTACCTAGTTCAACTGAAGCCCTGATGGCCACCTGCAATGAATGGGCACTAGGGCTTTGGATTGGATTGGGTCCATGGATGTTCAAGAAATGTAAGCAAACAAACAAACAAATCCACACTTTGCTAAGTGCTGACATCTACTGTGACACAACTCTATCAGACAATATTCAGAAAATTGCCAATTGATTTCACTATGACTTACTCTTGCAACAATCTCTGTATATGGATTGGAACAGTCTCAACGGAATCAAATAAAATCATTTGGAAAATACATTTGGAAATACTTCATGAAAATACATGAAGAACAGTTAAACTTAGCAGGTTCTTTGTCCATGTGAACAGGAGTTTTGTTAACGAACTCATTGTTTCATGGGGTGCTCTATAAATGACAGATTATATTAATTTTTGGAATATATTCATCATTATTCTATTTTAATCCCAGTTAATGAAAATCATCATTTTCTCTCTTTTCAAAAGTAATGTTTTTTTCAGATGCTGCAACTTTACTGTCCCATAAACATTTCTGTTTTAATTGGAAGGTGGTGGCTTTGTGACTTTATGCCAGAATAATATGACAGAATATTCAGGAACATTAGAAAGAGCTGAAAAAAGCAACAGCAGTTAAAAAAAAAAAAGAAACTGGAAGCTGGACAAATAACTGAAAGATGCAGTTATAGGCACAAGCTTGAAAAGACTGAATAATATATTATCTGCGGTGTAATATAAGCATAAAACCTTTAGTCTGTTACTACAATCTGACCTTTACTTTAAGATGAAATCTCATTGTGCAATTTGTATAATCAGGCATGTGCTACAAATGTATGCATTGTTGGATAGTGTTTGAATTCTTTCTCAGAAAGGATTCAAAAGACGACAAGCACAGGAATACAGGGGAAAGGAAGAAGGTGCTGCAATTCTCTACTCATTTTAGGCTAGCGGCCCCCAATCTTTTGAGCACCAGTTCCATGGAGACTCAGTTCCACAGACCAGAGGGGGTGTGGTTTCTCCTACTGCCAGCATTCTGGATGGAGTTTCTCTTGTTTGTGAGGCCCAATTGTGAGGCATACCACAGAGCACTGTCGGTCCATGGACAGGGGTTGGGGACCCTTGTTTTAGACAGGAATTAAGAATTCACTTTTGAACAGACCTGGACAGGACTACTCAAATAAATCACCCTATTTTCTGGGAATAAATACTATTGATATTTATTACTTGCATGAACATATTACATCTTAACCACCTTGCAGAGATACAAATGCTCAGAATAGTGGCAACTAAGATCTTTAAGAACAACTCAATACGTATGAAGGCCAAGCCAGCAGGCAGTCAATCAAGAAAAGCTCTTGGAAACAACAATGACTATAGAAAAGCAGCAATTGAATACAGATTTGCTCATTGGAAGAACAAGCCAATGAAGAGTCAATACTTGAAAGATACAGTAGTGGCCAAAATTGTGGAAACCTTTTGGGAAAAGTATACTTTTGAGGTCTGATGGCTAATAACACTACTTTTTGGGGGGAGTTTCAAGATAATCATATTCCACTTCTGGAATGGCATGGGAATCTTAACCCAATTGAAAATCTATGGAGCCGAGTCGACTAAAGAAACATTAATCAGAAGCAACCCAGCAATAAAGCCCAGTTAATAGAAGCAATCATTCAATCTTGGTTTCACATTATAACAACTGCAGAACTAAAAGACTTGGTTCACACTCCATGGGAAGACGTTGTAAGGCCGTAATTCATGCTAAAGGTTACCCAACTAAGTATTAACTGACGTGATTTTTCTATATCTCATTTTTTCTACGTGTTTCACTTTTCTTCTTTATACTGTAACTGCTATTCTAATAGCAAATCCTTTATAAAAGTTATTGCATTACATTCTTGATTAAATTATCTTCCACTGGTAGTACTCCAAAAAAAGGTGGTGTTATTAACTAGTTTTAGAAAATACACTTTTCCCAAAAGGGTTGAACAATTTTGGCCACTACTGTACAGAAGAAAAACCTGACCAAACAAAGAACAAAAACCTCCATCAGGGAGTTGGTTCAGATCAGGAGTGTTAAAGAAAGAAACTAAAGGCGTTCTTTTAGCAGTTCAAGAACAAGCTTTGCCAAGTAACTGCATGAAGGTGAAAATTCAACATGTAACAAACAACAGCAAATATCAACTTTATAGTAAAAAGGATAAAACAACTGACCATTTGATTAATGGCTGCAGCAAATTTCACCAACTGACTACAAGCAGAATCCTGACTGCCAGAATTCTTCATTGAAAACTTTGCCAGAGGTTTGAATCTGAATGTAGTAAAAACTACTGGGACCATCAAGTTGAGAAGGTTTTGGATAATGAGTGAGTAAAGATCTTATGGGATTTTAAGTTCCACATAGGCATCTTACTCATAACATGTCTCATATCGGTTATTGAAATGAAAAATGTCTGGTTCATTGATGATGGTCTTCCGGGTGATGCTAGGATTGATGAAAAAATATTTAGAAACAATGATGGAATACCAGGGGGGCTTGCGGATTGAAGTTAAACACTTATGGAAAAAGAAATCCATTGTTATAACCAATCGAGAGCAATTGATATCTGGACATATTGAATTTATCAGACCCGGTTTTTACAAAGAAAAACCACCTTGCTTGGAACTGCCTGGATTCTTAGACGCTACTTTTAATAATTCTTAGGCCGTTGGTTAGTATTTGAATTATTAAGTTTCCACCAGTCTTAGATTGCAAATCTAACTATAGATTACCCACCCAAAATAATAATAGCTCCGAAAATAAACCCCATTAGGAAACTGCTGTTCTGCTGGGGCGGTGACGCAACGCGGGCATTCAAGCATGCCCAAACTTTAAAACCATCCTCTTGCAAAGGGGGGAGACTGAATGAGACCCCCATTCTATATCTCCCTCGGGGAAGAGGAGCCCACGCCAATGCCTCTCCTCAGAAGCTGGGCGTCCTTTCAACCTCGCTGCTCCTCTGAACTAAAGCCATCCAGCGATTCCAGCCGCTTTGGGGCTGCCTCCCTCCTCGCTGGCGCTCCCCTGGCCCGCCTCTCCCTTGCCCGGCTGCCAAGCGCTTCCTTCGAGGCGGCTCGCCTTCTGTTCCAGGCAAGGGCCGCCGAGCCAGGAGGAGCAGCAGCCGCCGCCCCCGGCCTCGCGCTGCCCACGCCAGGATCTGCGTCACGCGGCCGCGAGTGGGAGGGAGGAGCAGGAGCGCGGAGCAGGCGGGGAGCAAGAACGGAATCTCCCCATGTGACGGCGCGGGAGGGGGCCGTGGATGCGCAGGCAGAGGAGAAGGAAAGGAGGCGGCGGCGGCGGCGGTGGCGGCGGCAGCAGCGGTGGAGGAGGCGGAGGCTGCTGCTCCTGCTCCCGCCGCCGCCAGAGCGGCAGCCATTCCCGCGCTTCGGGCTTGCGGGTCAGAGCGGAGCCTGAGAGGCGGCGGAAGCAGCACACCCACTGATGGAAAGAGGAAAGCTTGGCCGCAGGCGAGGGGGACTTCGGCCGTAACTTCTGACCAGCAGCCTCTCCGGCTAACACAAGAGCCGGACGGTCAGGCGGAACAGTGGCGGCGGCTGCGAGGACGTCCTCCTGGAGACAAGTAAGTTAAGGACGGGGAAGTCTCACCTTGTGGTTGGCGATCGCACGGGAGTTTCCAGGCGGAGCGGCGGCTTCGCTTCGCTCCAACTCCGAAGGCGTGGGGAGGCGCAGTCCGGAGGCTCCGCGGCGCACCCTTTTGCGCCGCGTGCGCTTTTTCTCGCTTGCCGAATCGTTGCGTCCGCGCGCCTTTCAGAGGCTCCGGCGCCCACTTAAAACACAGAACGCGTTGTGGATCGCTGCGCGCGCGGGAGCTTTCGGCTGGCATCTTGCGAAACAAGCATTGCAGGATCGGGGGGGGGGGGGAACCTCTTATAAACCAAACTGCGTTCCGTCCTTGCAAGTTGCTGGGAGAAGTGAAATTGCTGCCAGTGGGTTTATTTCATGCTCTACTCCTGAAGAAATAGTATAAAAAGCGCAGGTCTCGTTTTTCATTGTTTTTCAGCCGCGATCCTTACTTTTATGCTAAGCATCGTGTTGCTCGCCGGAGCTTGGAATAGGTGTGTGTGTGTGTGCTTCGAGTTTTTAAACTGAAACGGGCTGTCTTTAATTCGGCGTCTCCTCCTGCACCCCGAGTTGCGCGGCTTGCAAACAAAACTTGCGCGCGTGCTTCTAACTCGCTCCGAAAGTCAACGTCCGGTTAAAAAAAATGCACGAACCAGCTTGGGCGGCAGGTGAGATGAAAACATTTATAGATAAACATGCACGGGTAACATCCGTGCGAGTTTTGTTGAGTCGTGCTCCCGTATTCATCAGAAGCTAAACTGACGGGGACAGCGGCCTGTCTGAAACGAGGCCGCAATTCCCTCTACGCATTTACCTGGAAGCAAGTAACAGGGAGGCTAGTGGGGCTTCCTTCTAAATTAAACAGATGTTCAGGCAGAGTTGCGTTTGTAAGAGGAGAGGAAAAAAGGGCGAACGGAATATAGAAGCGCCCTGCCTCTTTTTCGCCTAGCAGGCTGTTTGCAGCACTCCGGCGCTGCAGTTGGTTCCTGCCGCTGTAGATTGCCGGAAGGAGAGCGAGGATGCGTGTGTGGGTGGGTGGCGTGTGGATAATTCCCAGAGAAATCCAGTGCAAAAAAGGGTGAGGGCGTGGGCGGAAAGTACTGAAACATCCTTGTATTGTCTTCACTAAAAGTTGGGAGAGATGGTATACAACCCAAACATTGCAAAAGAAGGAATGCTTTACCACATTATGTAAATGGTATAGGTAAGGATGTGCTTGTCTGCGATCGCAATAAACAGTTGATTTGATTTGATATGGATAGCTAATCTTAATTAGTTTTTTTTAAATTTGATTTATATGCCGCCCTTCTCCGGAGACTCAGGGCAGCTTACAATGCGTTAAGCAATAGCCTTCATACTTTTGTATATTTATACAAAGTCAGCTTATTGCCCCCACAAACTCTGGGTCCTCAATTTACCTACCTTAGAAAGGATGGAAGGCTGAGTCAACCTTGAGCCTGGTGAGATTCGAATTTACAGTAATTGCAGACAGCTGAATGTTAATAACAGGCTATCAGTCTTCTGAGCCACAGTTGCCGATCTGATTAACATTTGTTTTAATAAACTTTGAACATCTTCTGAATTAGGAAATTTATCTTTGGTGTACATTTTTATATATTTAAAACTTGGGGTGGGGATTAATTTTGAGACGATCGTCCCTATATATATATATATATATATATGTATGTATGTATGTATGTATGTATGTATTGAAGAACATCTTTAATTCAGTTTTAAAACTTCAGTTCCACTATCAGTATGGTACTCGGACAGGTTTCAATAGGCATATGGTGTCCCCTTGAAGTCAAAACAAAAAATGCTTTCTTGAGAAGATTCTGATTCCCCCCCCCTCCCTTAAGTGTCTGAGGACATAGCACAACAAGAAGTGTGAGAGAAAATGATATATACAGTTGAGCTTTATAGTATTTGAATACTTTGAGTATTTGAAATATTTAAAATAGGAGGAACTCTTGAATATATTACCAAATTACATCCATAGTCTCTTATTTGAGGAAATTGGTAAGTAAAGGATATTTGAGCTGTATCTACCATATGTGCACATTCAGGTACAAATATAGAAAGATTATTACTGTATTCTACAAAAATAATATTGCAGAAATATGCAGTATACAAAAACTATAATACAAACTTGGTAGACAGTTGAAACAGTATAATTAATTTTAAAGATCTCTGTAGAAATGTCAGTAAATCTTAAAATTGCTACATCCTCTTCTCTCTTCATATTGATTTCATTTGTTGAAAGAATCTTATTTTCTGCTGAGTAGCTTGCTAGTTTGTGGGGAGGGGGAACACTGGTGGTCTAAATAGGTGGCTATTTGGAAGTAAGGTGTTTGCTGGTGTGTGTGTGTGTGTGTGAGAGAGAGAATGAGAATGAATGGATGACGATATCACTCTGACCCCTGCATTTGGAAATAAATCTGATTGATTTTAGTACTGTATTTATAGGTTTAGAGGAAGAATATGCACGCTGTTCTTTATATCTTGAGGCTGAATGAAAGGGCATGAGTTTAGCAATAAGATATCAATGTCATATAAAACTGATTCTAGTCAGTTTCAAGGCCAATATTTCATACAAAAATATGAGGCTGTAGAAAGGTTGTTAAAATATGTAGATGCTAACTATTGTGGAAAATAAACAGTTGTCCAAAGCATAGTCACTTTAAAGAGACCTGTTGGAGATGTGCACTTGCTGAAATCAATATTTTTGGAAAGTTCTCTTGGGAGATAATTACTCTTTTAATGAAGGTGAGAGGTCTGAGTTTGTGTCAGGGTAGTAAAGCTAAATGGCTGTGGGGAAATATTACTGTACTTTGCATCTTTTCCTTCTGAAATAGGTTCAGCTCATTTTATGGAGAAATTATTCGTTTGTATGGAACCTCATTGCTATTGGATTGGGAAAGCAGTTGGTTAGTAGGATTATTCATTATTAAAGCTTGGAAATTGCTCCCATTTCTGTGGTAGAACCAAGAAATATTTACTGACATTTGATACCTCTCTGTATCAAGTGGAATCTTCCCACAGCAGTCCTATTTCTAACCACTTATAGAAAAATATGTGTCACTTAAGTTATTGCTGTTAAGTTTTCCATATAACTGAAGATTCCTAACTAAAGAGGGAGAAGCAAGCCAAATTAAAATGGAAGTGCAATTTTAATTTGTCAGTTAACACCTGTACAGATCTGTTTTGTTTCCTTCCCTTTCCCTCTGTCCTCAGTCATTCCTATTACAGATGAATCAGAGGAGAAACTGATCTGAAACATCTGAAACATTTTAAGGATTGAGAATATTTGCTGCTAGAACACATTGAAGACTGATGCTTCTTTTTGTGGAGTTTGGGGTCAGACTTTACCTTTTGAAAGAAAAAAAAAGTCCTTTTAGTGGTATTTTCTTTCTGAACTTTGATGGCAATTTTTCTAGCATTTCAAACAGCATCTCTTGCCACCATGAAAGACTTAATGTACATTCATCCCACTGTTAGCAACCCACACCAAGAGTTCTCCTTCTCTATAATTCGCCCACATGAGCCACATCGCAGCAGAAACGCCTCCTCCCTCCAATTTTCACACACAACATGCATTTCCCACAGCCATCTTTGGCTGAAAGAATTATTACTATTTTTTTAAAAAAAATGGTCATGCTAAAGGTCTTGAGAAAGGATTGGTGGGAGGATCTCTTCATTTGATAACACCAAGTGTTTCTACCACTATTGCACTTTGCAGTTTAGAACACAACTGTAGAATAACATTTAGGTTCGAATAATGACTGCTTTTGTGCTTCTGAGCAGGCGATGACTGGTTCACCATGGGGTTTCCACTGTGAGCCCTATATCTCACAAAGATGACGCCATGCACAATCTTCAGTGCAGCTATCAATAGTTATGCAAGGCATCTTAGCATAGCTTCTTCCTTGGTGTTTTGGGAGTTCCATCTGCTCTGAGTCACCCACTGGTAGAGATTTGGTTTCCAGGTCCTGGCATTAGATAGCTCCTACCTGTCTTTCTGCAACCATCTACAGAACCTGGGTAGTTCCCACTTAACTCTTTTAACTTTGGAATAGCCACTTTTAGGACAGTACTGTCAGAATGTCACTATAGCATGTGTGTTATTTTGTTTTATTAATATTTGGCTTGTTAAGGTAGTTTAGAAGCATCTGATTGATCTTTGCACTTGACAGTCTGATTTAAACTAATTATTTCAGATTTTTTGCTTGTAACCTTATTTTTGCTGTTGCCTCTCAAAATCAGTAGAACGGCAACAAAATTAACAGTAAAATGGAAGTCATAAAAAGGTCATACAAATTGGGCAGAAGTGGGGCTTGGTATGTATCTTTTCATCTGGAGGAAACTATCTACTAAAAATACCTCAAAGACTTGTTCTTCCTCTGTGTGTGTGTGTGTGATATCACTTAGTGTCTCTAAGGGTTCAAGCAATTTTTTAAAAAGGTGGGTTACAGGAGTATAAAATGGTGTTTGAGGTCCTGTGAGTGTATAACTGATAAAAGAAGTGGGTTGTTTGTTTGTTTTTGGCCTATTCTTATGACTCAGAGAATGTTCAGAAAAGCTGCAAGGGCAAGTTTTTATCTTTGCCACTCTTGTGTTACAGTTTTTCCTGGATCCATCCTACCTTTATTCTACAAGACTGTCTTAAATGGGAAAGCCTGAAGTGCAGATTTTTGCATATGGTCCATTATGAGGAATTTGGGAATTGTATAATGGTTTTCAGTGCCAGGCAAAATCTTTATGCCTGGAAATTTAAATGTAATTGCCTTCTTTTGGATCAGCAGAAACTGTTCAGCATCAGGGCAGCAGCTAAAGATAGGAGCCTGTTGCTCTTTTGAATGTGCTTTTTCCCTTCATGCAGAAATGTGTGAAAAGAATTTGGATGACAGCTAATTCACACATACATGTAAGATACTTGATGGTTGATTATCAGTGAATCCTGTCATTGTCTTTGGTTGACAGGCGTTGCTCTTGAGATGAAAGTATAGGTCTACCGAGCTGGTAGGTTTCTTTCAAGCACTTTGCAGTTTAGAACACAACTGGAGAATAATACTTAGGTTCGAATAATGACTGCTTTTGTGCTTCTGAGCAGGCGATGAGTGGTTCACCATGGGGTTTCCACTGTGAGCCCTCACAAATATCTCACAAAGATGACGCCATGCACAATCTTCAGTGCAGCTATCAATAGTTAATGTGAGGCATCTTAGCGTAGCTTCTTCCTCAGTGTTTTGGGAGTTCCATCTGCTCTGAGTCAGCCACTGGTAGAGATTTGGTTTCCAGGTCCTGGCGTGACACAGCTTGACATTCTTGGAGTCATTCCTCCCCACTTATACCTTCTTCTTTTTGCATCAAGAAACTTTGGGCGAATCACAGAGGTAGGCTGTGGCGCATGAAATGAGATAAAATGATTACTTGATGTGTTAAATAAGAAAAGTGGGCCCTTGGTGGTAAATCATATCTTCCAATGGCATCTGATCAATTCTTTCCCCTGTTTAAAATTCTGAATTGGAACAACAGTTTAGCTTCGGATTTATTTGCCGAAAAATGTATTGCTAAAAAATGCTGCTTAGCCTTGTTATACATACTGAAGGTAGGCCTGAATCTAGAAAAAACAGAACAGCAACTGTACAATGCATGTGACTCTTGCAGTGCAATAGCCACAGTTATCATGAGGCCCACAACACACGTCTGTTGTATCTGCTGGACTCCCAAATTAGTAGAAATTAATTTTAAAGTAAGAGCTTATTTCAAATCCAGGCAGTCCTCATTTAATGTCTACTTATTCAGGGCTGAATGAGTTGTAGTTATGACCAGTCCTTACAGTTTTTGTCATTACAGTGTCCCTATAATCATGGCCAACAATTCTGATGTCATGGTGAGCTGTAGTCACATGATCATAATTTTCAACACTCGCTGCTGGTTTCTCACAAGCAACATCCATGGGGAAGCCTGAAGAAAGTTGGAAGTCCCAGTCACATGCAGTCCTTGCTTAACTATGTGTGTGGTCCTCACTTAACTTTGGTAACCAGGACTGCTGGAACTGCCATTGCTAAGCAGTGTGGTCACGTGACATTACAACTGCATTGCTTAGAGTGGCAATTCCAGTCCCAGTTGCCATCACAAACCAATGACTATCTATAGACCAAATTTCATGAGATGTGATTGATTTATTTTTAAAACGCTCACCATCTTTCAAAACCATAATCTATTAATTAGCATGATTAGGGGCTGAGATCAGTTAGAGTTGAGCAGCCTAGTGTACCGATTGAGATAACTGGTTTGGGACTGGGACAATTCTTGAGCATGCTACTTCACTAGATAATGTTGACTCAGTCACTCTCTCAGCCAACCTATGTCATAGCACTGTGGGTATGGGGCTAATTGAGAGAACTTTGAGCTCCAATAAGGAATGCAGATTATAATTGTAATTTTAAAAAGGAATTAAATAAAGATGATATAAATTATTTAATTTATGCTCTGGATCAAATTTAGCACAGTCGTATAGGTAGTCCTCAAGTTAGGAACACAATTGAGCCCCAAATTTCTGTTGTTAAATGAGATATTTGTTAAGTTCATTTCTCGACCTTTCTTGCTACAATTGTTGAGTGAATCATTGCAGTTATTAAGTTAATAACACAGTTGCTAATGGTTAAGTGAATCTGGCTTCCCCATTGACTTTGCTTGTCAGAAGGTCACAATCATGAGTCAGTTGCCAATCACTTGAGTTTTGAACATGTGACCATGGGAATCCTGCAGTAGTTGTAAGTGTGAAAAATGGCATCCTCTGTGCTGTTGTAACTTCGAATCATCACTAAATGAACTGTAGTAAGTTGAGGACAACCTGTATCTTTGATCAGAAAATTGTAAATTTGCTTCAGTTTGAGAAACACCATTCGGTCTACTTAGAATTTGAGCAGACTCACGTAGGTTTGTATGTTTGATCATTTTCAAAGTTCCATTGATTTCAGGAGAAAAATTACAGATGCTTAAATTTCTCTCATTTGCACTATTTTTTCTTCTGAATCTAAATAACCTACCTTTTCATGCACATTTATTGACTGTCAGCAATAGAAAAAAGCCAGAATATTCCCCTAATTTATTCACTTCTTTATAAAACCTTCAGCCAAGAGGTACGTAGAGATATCGTTGCACACTTTTAAGAATACATCTGTAAAAAGCCAAATTTTCTCTTCTGTAGTTGGGTTTGTCTTGTGTAAAGAAAGAACAGAATCAAACAGGGTCATGAAATAGGAACAGGGGGTGATGTTGCATTAAGTCTGATGAAAATGGCCTTAGGTTTGACCAGATTTTAGCCTCCACCTTAAGTCATATTTGTAAAGGAGGATCCATGAATGTGGATGACAGTTCTGCTTTCCAGCAGTAGAACATATGTAATGAGACATTTTGATCCATTTTAAATGAATGTCTGCCAGGGCTGTGGAGTCGGGAGATAAATGTTCCGACTCCGACTCCTCAGTTTTTTGTGCTTCCGACTCCGACTCCAGTTACCCAAAATTTCCTCCGACTCCACAGCACTGGTCTGAACAAAGCTAAATTTGCTCTAGTGATAAAGTTCTCTAGGTTACTATATCTTTAATACTATGTATTATTAATAAAAGTCCTCTGTATTAGATTATTTCTGTTTACAAAATGCAGGAATGAGTGTTAGAATGAAAATATATTATTTGCTCTTTCATAATCTGAACAGTTCCCCTCTGTGTTTAAATAGAGTTATGCATTGCTTACATCAAAGCCTATTTAATTAAATGGAATTTGTTACCAGATTAAAGCCTTATTTTTATATGTAAGTGTATTTAGATTTAATCTACCAGGATTTAAATTCTGTCGTGACACTTAGACCTATGCTCTTAATCCATCAGACACAAGCTGAATCTGGTTTTAATGTCTTATAAATTTATTTGGTTTCATTAGCCTTTGTATCAGTTTTGAAGTCATTTTGGAATTCTTCATTTTCTGTATTTAGATGAGTATTTAATTAGCTGATTAGGAGAAATGGATGGGGAAAAGCTAATCTTTTACAACTGTTTCTCTTCACTTTATAAAATAATAAATTTTTATTCTTCAATTTTCACTTCTTTTTTTATCTCTAAGTGGCAACATGTTTATATGGAAGTAGTGGTTCACTGTGGCATACAGAACTGCAGGTATGCAAGCAGAACACTTATCACTACTAATTAGAGGGATTGAGCATATATTTATTTATTTATATTTATATCATATCTATCTCCGTCATAGAAGGCGTTTAAATAAATCTTTTCAAACATTGGTTACAGACAGGGTGGATAAAAATCAATGATTTTTTTTTAAAAGTCAAAAAAATCGGATTTTTTTAATTTAAATTGGATTTTTTAAATTTTTATCAAATTTATTTTAATAAAAAACTTTTGGGGTAAAAATCTATCGTAAGATAGTTTTCTATTTAGGATACATAAATAATTTAGTTTATTCAGCATGAAATGGAGCTTAGTTATGTAGCATGAGGCTGTATATTCTGCAACATTGGGACTATCGGTGAGTCAACAGTGGGTCAAAGGAGTAGCAGAGATGACAGTTGCTCTTTAAAAATTATGATTTAAATCGAGTTGATTTAAATTAAGCCTTTTTACTAATGATTTAAATCATGATTTAAATTGTGATTTAAATCAACTCGATTTAAATCAAATCCACTCTGCTTACAGATAGTGGAGTAGATCTTTTGAAAGCTGGAATTAATATTTGGAGATTATGGAGAATTCTTTTCTGCAGTGTTTTTATATGTTTATAAACTAGTGGAGCTTTATCATACCAGTAGTTGAAGACATAGTGAATGTAAGGTAAAGATCCTCTTGGCTTCTAGAATGTTCGTTTATTTAATTTATAGCTCATATTTGTATAGCTGTCCCTGCCATTGGCATCCTCCAGTCTCTAGAGATTATGGTATGTGCTCTGGAAAGAGGTCCTAAAACAGTATCTAATGTGACTAAAAAAGCCAATTCGAGAGTGGCAATCCCTTCCACACTGGGGCAGATTCATTCTGTCCCCTGCCCAGCCCCCAGATTTCACTGGTTCTGGGACTGCCTCTTTGCCTCAGCCTGCTGAACAAGTGTCTCTTCGAATTGGAGTAGGCCATGCTGTGTCTTTAGCCTCCAAGATGAATAATCGGAGGTCAAGGTGTCCATCTCATAGAATAATACTAAAGCAATGCCATTAAAGTATTAATATTATTATTAACATCAATAATAGCAAAAGCTAAGGCTAAGCGAAAGTGTTAGATATTATGAACAGTGGAGCTATCTTAGGAGATCACAATAAGCCTTGAAGTTACAGTTTACAAATTTCTTTTAACTAATGTAATTTGGTAAGTTATTTATATTTTACAAACAGTAGATCAGAGGTGCAAGTGGGGAAAGGGATAGCTCTTAGACTAGGACAATGATGGTGAAACTTTTCAGCACTGACTGCCCAAACTTGAATGCGTGTGCATGTGCGTGCACCGGAAACTTGAAGACCAACTGGCCAGTGCGCATGTATACCCCGTCCCAAAAACCACCCTGAAAACGGCTCCAAAAATGGCCTGTTTCTGGCCGTTTTCCAGCGCTCGTGAAGACCAGCTTGCCGGTGTGCATGTGCACACCGGAAACCAGAAGAGTAGCTGGCAACGGGCCATGTGCCCACAGAGAGGGCTCTGCATGCCATCTCTGGCACGTGTGCCATAAATTCACCATCATGGGATTAGGACATAGAGGGTTTTTTTCCTTATATTTAGGGGCCATACCTATTGTTAGATATTAGGGGCTGTGCAAATCCTTCGAAAGAGGTGCTTTGCAATGCATACTAGCATTGATTCTCTCTTCGAATCAGTAAAGCAGTTATGTCATTTTCCAGGTTTGTGTGGTTGTTTCATAAGCTACTGTTTGCTGGCTCTGCGGGTGGGTAAACATATAGCCACTACATGAACAAGTGTGCAAATAACAGCTGAGAACAATTTATGAAGTGGCTGCAGGAGTCTGCAAAAAGACAAATCTTTTAATGAGGCACTTTGCCATTTTTGAAAAACTTGTACTTGCTTTATCTTGTTTTTCTTATAACTGGTCTTTTAAGAATTCCCTCCATAGATGAAAAATGGAGACATCAATTTGCCAACTACTACTTGGTCAGTTCAGCACAATTTTAACCAGCTCCCAATCCTGTCCTCCTTCTGTTATGCCCACCCATAAGGAATGCATTTATGTCAAATAAAAAAGCCTATCTGGAAATTGGTATTAATTTGGTTGCTCTTCTGCTTCTTTTGCAGGGCATTGGGTCCACAATGGCCACAGCTTTGCCCAGAACCCTTGGTGAATTGCAGCTTTATCGCATCCTGCAGAAAGCCAATCTCTTGTTCTACTTTGATGCCTTCATTCAGCAGGGAGGGGATGACGTTCAGCAATTGTGTGAGGCAGGTGAAGAAGAGTTCCTTGAGATCATGGCCTTGGTTGGCATGGCTAGCAAACCTCTTCATGTCCGAAGGCTGCAGAAAGCTTTGAGAGACTGGGTCACAAATCCAGGCCTTTTTAACCAGCCCCTCACTTCTTTACCGGTCAGTAGCATTCCTATATATAAACTACCGGAAGGATCGCCAACTTGGCTGGGAATATCCTGCAATAGTTATGAACGGAATAATAGTACCCGGGAGCCTCATGTGAAGATTCCAAAATGTGCTGCCACAACCTGTGTTCAGAGTGTGAGTCCTGGCAAATCTGATGGAGTGGGGAATTTAGTGCCGCAAAACAGTAGTGAGCAGAGACTCTGGCAAGGACACCATGGAACTGAGAGCGAGCACAGCCTTTCCCCTGCTGACATTGGTTCTCCACCCTCACCAAAGGATAACACAGAAGCTTTGGATGCAGCTGCAGCTCTTTCAGTCACCGAGTGTGTGGAACGCATGGTTTCCACTCTCCCCAAAAGTGACTTGAATGAAGTGAAAGAAATGCTGAAAATCAATAAAAAACTGGCTAAGATGGTTGGTCATATCTTTGAAATGAATGATGAGGACCCTCACAAAGAAGAAGAAATTAGAAAATACAGTGCAATATATGGCAGGTTTGACTCGAAGAGAAAAGATGGCAAACATCTCACCCTTCATGAGGTAAATTGAGGACTGATATTCTTTACTAGCTCTTTTTCAAACACCTCTAAGGTTTTTTTTTCACCACCATCTCAATCAGATTTGCTAGGGGAACATTGATACTAATCAGAATTGTATAGGCAGGAAGCACTTTTAATAAATTATTTTTATAGATGTATTGTAAAATATTTTTAATGAAATGTAATACATTAGGTGCTTTTTTGAAAGACACATTAAAGAAAATAGTAGTTGAAATGAAAAGTGACTGTTCTTTGTCATTCCAGAACTTGGAATTGATAAACTGACATCTTTTTAAATCCATGTTTTGTTTGCTCCTTTTGGAAACTTCTACAGTAAATTCACATTTACCATATTTTTCAGAGTATAAGACGCTCTGGACTATAAGATGCACCTTCCTTTTTTGGGAAGAAAAAAAAATCTGCCTCTGCCTCCCAGCAATTTGCCTCCTTGCAGCAAACAGCCTGTTTCATTTTCAGCGCAACTGTCGAGATCCCCTCGACACTCGGCGCTATGGAGGCAACCGTGGATCCTGGCGCTATGAAACTGTGTGCCTCCCGGCGCTATACGAACCGGGTATGACGGTGCTAGCGCCCGTTCGGAATAAACTGGACTAGGACGTCTCAGCGTCTTCATTTCCCGACGTCTCCAGACACGCAGCAGGAAGTTAGACAGCAGCCTGATTAGCACAAGAAAAAAAATCTGCCTCTGGCTCCCAGCAATTTGCCTCCTTGCAGCAAATAGCAGAGGCCGAAAATGGGGTGCGTGGAGGCGGCAACAGGCAATGGCAATCCCTGCAGCCTGAAACAGCTGATGGTTGGAAGGCTGATCCAACCACAATCAGCTGCTTGTGCTAATCAGACTGTGCTGAAACTGAAACGGGCTGTTTGCTGCAAGGAGGCAAATTGCTGGGAGGTAGAGACCAAAGGGTGGGGGCCTGTGGGTGGGCAAGGCTACATTCGGTGTATAAGACATACCCAAATTTTCACCCTCTTTTAGGGGGGAAAAAGTGCGTCTTATACTCCGAAAAATACAGTAGATTATTTTAAATAACTTCCTTTAAAGCACGGGTGTCAAACTCACAGTATCACGTTCAGTGGTGGGTTCCTACTAGTGGCAGCGGGAGGCTCCGCCCACCCACCCGAACGGTTCTGCGCATGTGCGCGTGCATGAGCAAACCGGTAGCAAAATAAATTGAAACCCACTACTGGTCACGTTTCTGTCACATGACGTTTTGTGACGTTTCTTCATGGAGCTGCAGTGGGCATGGCCTGCGCGTGACGCATCCAGCCCATGCGCCACCAGTTTGACACCCCTGCTTTAAAGAGATCTTAATAAAAGGAACTTGATTAGTAATTACCTGTTTTCAAATGTGCTCTGAAGTTAGGTTTTTCATGCATTTAGATTTTTAAAAATGTTAGTAAATGATGAAAGGATCTTCAAGAGTTTTTGATTTCTCTGCAAACAAAACTGTTGTATTCCCAAGGAGATGGTCAGCTGTTCAGGGACAGGGACACACTGTATATTTTTTAAGCTTTCATTCACTTCAGCTGTAGCTCTTTGAAACCATATGTCATATGATATATTGTAGCATTTAAACCCAAGTTCAAGATAATTACGCTTTGAAGTACCCATTTGTATTGATTGTTGTTGAACAGTAGTAAAACAATTGAGTAAATATATATTGTTCAACTGCATAAGCACAATCTTAATGATTAATGCATTTATTTCCCTTTGAGGATAAGAATGAAATATTTCCTTTGGAAAAAGCAAGAAAACAAATAATTGTAACTATCTAATAGAGTTAAATATGTCTAGTGACATTGGTGATTTTGAACATGTTCAAGACATTGAATTTATGAACAAAATTATAAACATTTTATATAAAAATATTTCTCTTTCAGCCTCGGTCATTATCTTTACAGGCACCATGTAGTTAGTGTATGTTAAAACTCTTTAGTTTTGATAATTGTGTCTACTTAGCATAATTGGCTTTCAGAAGCTGGCTTTTCATTTTTTTCATAGATTGTAGTATGCAGTTGTACGTAGTTACTTTGATTGTTTTTCGTTCAGGGTGGATTTGATTTAAATCGAGTTGATTTAAATCACAATTTAAATCATGATTTAAATCACTAGTAAAAAGGCTTGATTTAAATCAACTCGATTTAAATCATAATTTTTAAAGAGCAACTGTCATCTCTGCTACTCCTTTGACCCACTGTTGACTCACCGATAGTCCCAGTGTTGCAGAATATACAGCCTCATGCTACTTAACTAAGCTCCATTTCATGCTGAATAAACTAAATTATTTATGTATCTTAAATAGAAAACTATCTTACGATAGATTTTTACTCCAAAAGTTTTATATTAAAATAAATTCAATAAAAATCAAAAAAATCCGATTTAAATCAAAAAAATCTGTTTTTTTTGTTTTTTTTAAAAAATCATTGATTTTTATCCACCCTGTTTTCATTAGCAATACATTCATTTATTAATTGGCATAAAATATATTATTCTCAGTTGTAACATTTACTAGTTAAAGATACAATTTCCTTTTTTTTTTTAATGAAGTTTTATTGAATTAAGAATATATTACAATTCAAACTATACGGTTCGGCAACGTGTAGTCATATTGTATATTTACAAGTGCAAGTAAAGATACAATTTCCTATGCATTTTCCTGGGAGTTGAGTTCACTAAACTCAGTGGAGCTTAATTTCTGACTAGGCATAATAAGCATGGCACAATTAAGGGTATTTCCTTAATTTTGGATAAATGACAGACTAGTTTATCAGCTCTTTTGTCAATTCTCTGCCCAATCCTAGTTAAATTTATTGTAACAGTTCTTTTTGAAAAAAAAAATGGATATAGATAAGTTGATATAGGTGCTGAACATTGGTGCATATTTTATGTGCCTGAAACTTGTAGATTTGCCTAAATAGGGCTTTTGAATGTTGGAAATTTTATTGCTTGAATTTGTAATAAATGGTCAGTGTTAAGGAAAGGCCATCTGCTGAACTTCCTTGGATTTGCTTTGTCAGAGGGGTGGTTTCTTGAAGTTATGTCATTGCTAGTGAGCAGTAGTTTCAAGCTGATGGGCTAAACCAGGGGTGTCAAACACAAGTCGTCATGGCGGCATCATGAGACATATCGGGACTTTTTTCCCCTTCATTAAACCAGGTGTGGGTGTGGCCAGCACGTGACGCACCTGGCCCGTGGGCTGGCAGTTTGACAGCCCTGGGCTAAACCAAAGGCTCTTTTCCTGACTCGCTGCTCAGACATTGCTACGTCTGGGTTATCCTCACTCTGATTCGTTCGACTGAGTCCCAATCATCTCCCTCTGAAGCTGGTCACGCCCACCTCCTCGGCTTCCCAGCAATCTTTTTCATTCAGTCGAGGATATCGGACTTGAGTGCCTTTGTTTTTGTGCATTACGAGTTTAACTCAATATTTTTCGCTTGAATTGGTGTTTTTCTATCTTGTGAGGGCTGTGCGACGTGGGATCATCCTTTCTATGGCTGCCGTGTGGATGAGTCGGTGTTCCGGGGCTCCGGTCGCCACTCGCTGTTTCTTTGAATTTGTCAGTGTTGAGAGATCGCTTCGGCCGTCTCCAGCAGCCTTTTTAGCCACGGGTGCAAGAGCTTATTACTGGCTTGCCTTCACCTTCGCAGTCCTCGCCAATAGCTTATGCGGCTTGTGAGTCACTGCCGGCTGGCATACTCTTTTTTCAAGGAGGATGCTTTGCGGTGGTGGCTTTATACCACCATTTTCGTGGTCTGAGGAGGCTGTGGTGCTGAGGAGATTGTTCCAGCGACCACCATTTTAACTGCTACTTGCCACCCACCATTTTCTGCCTGTATTTTGGTGCGGTTTCTTTGATAATGTCCTGGGCTTTGATTCCCAGGGGCGTTGGCGAAGCACTTGGCTTTGGATGCTGTCCAGTATTGTCCTGCCTCCCTTCAGTGCTCTGGTCATCGTTGCCTGGTTCCAGCAAAGGAAAGTGATTAATTTTTTTTCCTATTTCTTCTGGGGGCCCTAGCCTGAGAGTATCTTTAGTTTCTCAAGCTATTACTCGCATTTTTCAGGCAGGTTTGCAACAGACTGGCTGTTTGCTTCCTCTACAGGGCCCCGCTGGGGTTCCTTGCCAAGTGCCTCAGACCATTGTACAACCTTCTGTCTCTTCCTATGGACATGTGGTTGAGCCGGTCCAGGAGGAGGAATACTTGCAGGACTTTGAATTCTCAGAAGATGAGGAAACTGTTCCGGATAAACTGGCATTTCTGGGGTTATTTAAACCTGCTTTATTCAAATCCCTCTTACATAAAGCTAAGGTGGCTACAAATATGGGATGGGGTGCCCATCTACAATCTCAGCTGGCACAGGGTACCTGGTCTCCCATGGAGCAACTTCACAACATAAACTGGCTGGAGTTGCACGCAGTCCGCCTGGCACTGGTGCATTTCCGCCAACAAGTCTTCCACAAGCATGTTCTTATATTAACGGACAATATGGCCACAAAGGCCCATGTCAACCGCCAAGGGGGCACTCGCTCCTTGTCGTTGATGGAGGAGATGGAGAGACGGAGAGATTGATGTCATGGGCGGAGCGACATGTCCTCTCCTTGAAGGCGGAGCACATTTCAGGCACGATCAATTGGGAGTGGATTGGCTCAGTCGGGGTCAGTTGGACCAGTCCGAGTGGCAGTTACATCCTCATCTTTTCCAGGCCCTGTCTCGCCGGTTCAGACTCCCGGTGCTAGACCTGTTCGCCATGCCCCAAAACACACAGCTGCCGAGGTTTTTCTCCCGTTTCCCGATGCTGAGGGCAGAAGGTCACGACGCCCTTCGATCTCCGTGGCCTCAAGGGCTCCTCTACGCTTTTCCTCCTATCTCGATCATCCCCAATGTGATCCGGAAGATGATCATGGAGTGGGCAGATCTTCTCCTAGTCGCTCCTCATTGGCCTCGACGAGAGTGGTTTGCCGATCTGATGACTCTATCCGT